AGCCTTTAGCGGCTTTAAAACCCATCAAGCCCAATGGGCTATAGAGTGAGAACTTAGTACGTGGAGCCACCTTTATTTTTTTTAATTTTATTTTCCTTTAAATGCAAAATAGTAATTGTACATTTTATAGGAAAATGTGATCTTTCCGTATATGTATACATAGTGGAATAATTAAATCCAGCCAGTTAATATATCCATCACCTCACTTACTTAATTTTTGCAGTGAGGACATTTAAAATCTATTATTTTAGCAATTTTGAGATAAACAATACATTATTAACTAAGGTTACAATGCTGTGAAATTGAACACTAAAACTTATTTCTAGTGTATAACTGAAATTTTATACTATTTGACCAACATTTCCCCTTTCCCCATTCACACTCCCAACCCCCAGCATCTAGTAACCACCATTCTACTCTCTACTTCTGTGTTCAAACTATTGGATACAGAGGAGAGAAAATTTAAGGGGAAAAAGAAATAAGAGGAGACTTTAGGTTTATTTCTTCCTGGAGCACCAAGATATTAAAGATGAAAGAACTTTAGGGGAATAAAGGTGGCATTTTTCTGGAAGTAAATTGTATATTTGCTTGAAGGTGGCCTGACCTCTCTTCCTCTAGTGAACTGTGTTTGTCCTTCAAGTTGCAAGTGAGATGTCTTTTTCTCCAGGAAACATAGAACCATCTGTGCTTCAAACCCCCAACTGTCTGTCAAAGCTAATCATTTGTCCATGGGGAAAAAAAAAAAATCTGCTTCGTTCTGAGTTCTGTATTAAACCCCAAAGATACAGCACCCAGTGCATTCTTAGTAGCAGGACATATAATTATTCTTCCTCATTTCAGTATGCTGGCTGATAGGAGCAAGGACTTTAATGGGACTGTAAATATTGTAGGGGCTCTGACTTTGGGGTTAGCTTGGTCAGGGAAGTACAGGTGGTAAGAAGATTTCAGTCGGACTTTGTCTTCTTAAGGTGGCAAAAAACCCTATGTCTAAAAGTAGTAAAAGGAGTGAGACTTTGGAGGGTAGAAATGGAGATGAAGCCTAGCTGATGCCATGGTTCACGTATAAAAGATGTTCAGTTGTAATGACACTTAGAATTCAGGGATGATCTATATTAGTAAAGTTGAAAATACTAGATTGATTGAGATTTCAGATGAAATGTTTTATTTCAAATAAAACTCCATTTCTGGCTTATGATTTTATAGATATTTGTGGAAGCTTAAATGCAAATGTTAAACCTTGCCAAGAACAGTTTATGTTGATTGACCCGTGGAACACCTCACATTCTCATAGTTAGCTAGGATTGTTAAGCATCTGTGAAAATTGATAGCATGTGTACCATCCTTGATTATGCTGAATTCTCCTTTTAAATTAAAAACATGTAGAGAAAAACATAAAAGTGCTATTTTATGCCATGTAATTGTCTCTCTTCCTGAAACTTCTCCAATCACTTTATCCCACACTGCTCTCAGATTGATGTTCCAAATGAGTTGTTGTTATATGTTCATTACTACCTACTCACAGTGTTCTATAATATAGCCCCATTTTAACTATCAAATCTTATCTCCCACTAAAGCTGGATAAGAAGTCTGTGCTTTCTTAGAGTGGATTTCTTTCTGTTCCATGAGTAGTACATACCATTTTACTTTCTTACCCTGGGGCTTAGCTGGTACTGAACTCTTACCGTTGTCTTCTTCCCATAAATCCTTCCTGTTATTTAGGGCTGTAATCAAGTTTCACAAAACCTACCCATTATTCTTGCCCATAACATGTGTTTCCTTCTTTATCTCTGTACCATACATATTGGCATTTAATTATCTAACATTTGTAGTGATTTTTAATCGTTTATAATGTGAACTCTGTTTTCTCATTTCTATTAGAATTTTCTTGCTATATAAAGTATCCTTTTCTATGTCAGACACAAAATTATACCTAAACACTTAATTTTAATGCTCCTGTTTGACTAATTAAGATAGATTTTGAGGTGTGTTAGTGTTGCTCTGGAACTTCTAAGATCTTTACATACCGCGAATCTCATAAATGGCATGACAACCCAAGAGGCATACTCTACCTAATTTTAGCACAAATATTACACAAAAGATTATGGGTTTCATGCATTTAAAAAAGCACCCAAAAGTGAAGAAATATTCTCCCCATGAGAGCATAATGAGTTATTGTGCAATGCCCTAAAATGTTTATTCGTTGAGTTCAAATGCATTTGTGGTTATTGTAGCTCTCTTATTTGAATAAGTGAGAGAAGTTGTCCATGAGGCATAGATAATTCTGAAGATATTAATAAATATGTCTGATAATCAAGGAGCTTTAAAATTAGTACAATTGCCTTTCTGGAGCTTCTGCCTCCCATACTTCTAATGTATTAGAACATAAAACAGGGTTCCATGGTTGTGTTCTCAGTTGGACTATCGTTCAGTTTAAACCTAGAAACTTTAGGGAAGGATTGCAGGGTAATTGACAGAGGTTTAAAAAATGAACTCTTACATGGCCAGTTGGGGTCAGGAGAGGGGACTTTTTGTTCAGAAAACTAAAGAGCTGAGCTTCAGAATTATTATTATAATCTGGGCATTTTATATTCAAAATGACTACCTCCCCTCCCAATGATTGCCTACTATCTTCATACCTCACATTTGCTTTACCTCTCATAATTTAGCTACTCATATGCTTTAAGAGAGAGTTGAATCAGGTGAAACTGGACAAATGCCCAGGTTTGATTTCAGTAATTCATTGACAAAGGGAAGCAGGAGTGTTTTGTGCATATATCCTGTGTGTGTGCACACAAATACAAATAGGAATAAAAACTATGCTGATTCCTTTTACTTTGCCTGTAATATCTGACAGATTTCTATAATTTTAAAGGAGGGAGTCATTTAGCTATGTTTGTGATTGGGGGTAGTGTTCCTCCAAGTTCAAGCTGAAGTGGTAAATTTTAATTCAATATCACTTTTGATCTTCATAATGCTGACAGCTGTCTAACAAAAGCAGCAGCTCCTTGACATTGTAATTCTTCAGATAGTAATTGTTTGCCTCTTTTTGATATATCAGACATTTGATGGTCTTTATAGACGCTGCCACTCACTCCCTAATCTCATATTCTATTTTAAATTATTTTTAGAACACCATCTACATCGACACCTATCCCTAAGTAAGAGGGCACAAAGCTAGTGTTTGCTGGGTGAGAGAGGCCTTTATAACCAAATACATAGGGGTTCAGTTATATATAAATAGCAGTATATGTGAATGGCATACGTTGGGAAGAACAAAAACAGCTGTATCTGGCAAAAAGGTTAGGTGATTTGTAAGGAATGGGAAGACACTCAGACTAGGATTGTAATTATAGATGACAGTGTTATGAGTATGTCTGGTGGTGGGAGCAGCTGTAATCCCTCACCCCTACTCCATGATTAGGGAATTTAAGGAAGTCAGAGACCATAGGATTTGCTTGAGGCTGATCCAACTGCTACAGCCATATTCCCAGGATGAACATAAACTGTATTTTCTCCAAAGAGAGTGCATAGGAAAATAACGTAATGTGGATCCTCCCAACCCTAGGATAAAAGCATTTACTGAGAAAGAATTGATATACAGTGAAATCACCATCCAGCAATGATGGAATTCTTAGCCTTGACCCAGTTCCTTTTCTTAAGGCTAAGGTTCCTGTGCTTTTGGAGAAGGGAGGTGGTTGTGAAGAGGAGGATGTGGAAGAGTTGTCAAGGGGTAGCAGTGAAACGACAAGCAATCCTATCCCAGTAAACTTGAAGGTATATGGTGGGCCTCACTCCCAATATTTTTCTGTCTCAGTTTCTTCTGATGGGTCAATTAAGTGGGCTTTCAAATAACCAGAAGATTCCTATAATTGCTTTCACTTCCTTAGAAGTCCTAACCATCCATGAGACCCAAAATCAAATTATGCCCATTGATGTTAAGCCGGTGCAAATAATTGCTACCAGGTGAGATAAACCCACAGGCAGCATTAGGCACCAGAACACCTGAAAGTAGGGCAGCTACTAGCACATGCTTTCTGTGATTGTTAGATTGACTTTTAAATATTGCAAGCCTGAATATCATATGTCTGCCTATTGAGGACTTGCTTTGTGTGTTATGGCAGGGGCTATAGTATGCTACCAGAGCAGGCCTGCTTAGCAAACAAAAATCTTAGAGATCTTTGTCCTTTACAACACAGAAAGAGCTTATAGTCCTGTCAGAACTCTCAAGATTTCCATAAACAAGGACGGTGTGGACATGATAGTGAGAAGAAACATCTGTGGATTTACCAACATGGTTCCAAAGTAGAAGACCTAGTCATTGGGTGACCAGCTAGAATAATACTGTGAGATACAATACATTTCAAAAGATAGGCAAGGAGTGGGAGTGTCGCTGCCACTTCAGAGGAAAACCTGAGAGGTTTTATTATCAACCAGAATTTGAGTGAGCTCCAGCGTTTCACCAGAAGTGAACCAAGAGAAGCTAAGAGCACAGATTAAATAAACTGTAGGGCAGGGCTATAACTGGCCTTGGTTTTTCACTACACTGTGATGGGCACTTGGATATACAAAGAGACTTGATATTTTGGGGGGCCAGAGAAGATACATACCCCTTCAGTTTTGTTTGCTTTTTAGGGTAGGTGACTCTAGAATAAACTTTTGACGATAACAGATGCTCGGAAAATATTTTCCAGTTCTTGGTGCACCCATTTTTCCTGCTTCCCAGTGTAACCCTTCCTCCTGGAAGCAGGCTCACTAAGCACACATAGCTAGGAAAAGGCAATCCAGTGTGAATCAATATAACAATCGAGGACGGGAATATCAGCCTGCTTAAACAGATGAACTGAAATAAGAACTGTGTTCATATCTGCTTGAAAATAACAAAACTAGAGGAAGATTTGCAAACATCTTGCTAGTTCCTGTATTTTGATTTGCATTGACTCTACTATATGTTTCAATGGCTGCAGATGGCAGTTTGAAAATAAATACTCAGTCACAATTGACAAAGTCAAAATGTTTTTATTTATGCTGAAGTTTAGCAAGTACATTTTTAACAAAGAAGGTGTACTTTAACGTTATGTATAGTAGAATAGGGAAACCATACATATAAGTTTCTAGTCTCTAACACACTACTGCATTTTTTTTAATTTAAAAGACAAAAAGCCAAGTTGAAATGAGCATAGAAAAGCATCAAATACGGTCAAGTTACTTTAGCCATTAGGATTTAGCTCATATTTTTAAACTGGTCAATCTAATGCAAGGACAAAGTTTACATCATTGCTTTTAAAATGTACACGTGTTTCTTTCTTTTTTAATGTAACAGATTAAATAGCTCCTTCAGTAAACAAAGCTTTGCTGATAAACAAAATTGAAATAACTCCATGTTGAATAGTTTCAGAGATAAACTGGAATCACAAGCATCTTCATTTATGTAAAGCCAGCGAGGACCTTTCAGGCTGAATAAAACTGTTGTGCCATTTCTAAACAGTAATAGTTACCTCCTTTAAAAAAAAGAAAACAAGTTAGTTCTTATGAAGAATAATTCTGATACGTGCTTAAAAATACTAAAACTTCTATCTTCAGGAACCTAAAATGATCTGATGTAACAGGCTCAATTTAGTGTTGGTAAAATTTAACATTTCTTAACATTTCTATATTTTCATCTGTCAGTTTTCAAAGATCCTTCAAATTTCATGCTATAGCTTCTGTTCTTCTTTCCACAGCACTGGAGACATTGAAGACTGATAAAGGCTCTTCATGAACCATATTATAATGTCTGTAATAATCTATATTACTTTTTCTTTTTGTATATAATGGTGCATCTGAAATACAATTCCTATAGTTTACCAAAACAGGGGGAAAAGAGTATCTGGTTATGATCTAAGATAATGACAGCTTTGTACATTTAGAATTTCCTCTCCCGGGTTGACCCTGAGACTGTGTATACTGCATGAAGGGAGACTAGTTCCGAATTATCATTTTAGCTACAGTGTTTAGTCAAACCGGTATCCCTCTAAATGATAGCAATTAAAAGAGCCCATGCCATCCTAGAGTTAGATAATATTTAATTTGGGTGGGTAAAAGTTATTATTGGAAATTTTTTTTTTTTAATTTTATTCTACCTCTTTTTGTCAAACCTTGTTATTTTCCACAGCAATGGCTTACAACCCGAGTCTCTATTTAGATGCGTTAGAAAGATTGGCTTTTGGTTACAAACGAAGTCGGAAAAGAAATGTGGATGAATCAGTACAAATCCATTACTTGTGCTTGAAAAATACTTAAAGATAATGTTTCTGAGTCAAGTGCTTTATTTTAACATATAATGGAGAGGACATTATCATTGTTGGACTAATATGTCTAATCTAAAATATTAAGTCAATCTGGTCAAAGCTTATTAGGAGGAAAGTATACCCTTTTTAAACCTTGGGTTTAGTATCTTTAAAATCTTTATTCTTTCTGTGTATAAGGTATCATGGTGAGTAGCAGAATTTTCTAGATAATACCTCAGAACCAAAAATAAAGATGTAGTAAGGTAACAGACGAATAAAAGATTGGGGTTTGGGTTAGTCAGACTCATGGAGGGTTGGACTTCATCAGAGGGCAACCAGACATTTTTCCCAAGAAGCCCATGGAATTCACTAAAAGTTTTCCAGGGACCAGAAGAAAACGGAACTTGAATTTTTGGACACTGGTAATTGGTCCAACTCCTTTGTGGAGTCTGAGAATATTTACTCTGATGAATTGACCAAATATTTGCTTAGTCCTCCAGTCTACCTCATCCTATGTATACACAGCCTAAATGTCAAAGGAAAGCTCTTCAACATGAAATGACAGTCATTTTACCAGGATTGAAATTTATACATTATAGCTAAAGCTTAAATCATGCAACACAAATTGTGAACATTACAAACTGGATAGCAATGGCACACACTATGTCCCCTTAAAAAGGGTACATGAACTCAGCAATGAATAGCGAAAGACAATCACCATCTGTCCTTTAGAAAAATGCAGTTTCTCAAAAATTTCTACTTTTGTTATGTTTATTTCTTGCCTTTATTTAGAGACAGAAATATTTGCCCACATCCTTTATGTGTCTGCTTACAAGGCCTATTAGGAATAGTTCCCACAGCTGCTCAAAAATTGAAAGAAAAACTAGGCTAGCAAGAAGAAAACAATATTAAGTGAATCTACTTTTCTACCGGAATACAATAAATTGAGATTTCATGATAGTGAAACTTTTTCTCCCAATTTTGAGGACAGGAGCAAAATAGACCCCTGTGTAGCATGCTGTATAATGTTGACACATATTTGGTTACTGTTTTACATGTGCCAATACTGAATGATCATAAGGAAGATGCCAGTAAGGAACTGCTAACTGACACCGATCCTTGGAGCAATCTCAAAGTTTGCCACATTTCCATTTCAAAATGCATTTCAGCTATAATATGAGTGATTTATCACTTAGTAGTAGCTGTCAAAGTAATCTCCTAGATAAACCAAAAACATCTGGAACCATAAACAGAGAGGAGTAGTAGCTGAATTTTAATTCAGACCCAATGTGCTCACTTCATTAGGAACAGGAAACAGCTAATTAGTAATGGAATGTTTCATATTCTTAAAAGGGTTTGTTCTTGAGCTCCAAACAGAGATGATCTGATATGAACTCTGGATGTCAATAAGATTAAAGATTAGGAAGAGAAACTAACAAAGTCTCTCCAAGGGAATGTTATGGAGCTTGGGAACTTAAAAAGAGGGACACACACTGATATTTGGGGGGAGCTGACAGAGTTTATTGCTTTGGGATTTATCAGATAGGTAAAAAGGGGAATTTGATACATACAAATGTGACCATTTTTAAAGTAAAAACAAAGGTCCATGCAGTCCTTCCCTTAGCACAGCACTGCCTGACGTGGGCATAGGCCATGGCACAGAAGGTCAGTGTGGGCACTCCATACAGGAGATGAACCTCTCCTAATCAATCGAGTTATCTTTACTGGCCCATAAATAGCTGCTCCAAACTCAAGTAAATGTGAGACTTGCCCTCTGTGGTATATATCCTAAACTTATGAGCCGGAATAGCTAAAATCATGAATCATAAACGAGGCAAATATATGGGAAAAGGCCAGAAAAAAATACACATGAGGAGTCCTCATAGTTCAAACAAGGTAAGTTAAACATATCTACTTATTTTTAAAAAAAGACACTAGTTTATTTTGAAGTGACTTAGTTCATTTGGAAATTCTATTTAATGATGAGACTTTCTTGGATGTTATATTTTTAGTCACCCGTCATTGTTATTTATTTCAGATATTTGATATTAATAAACGTTTTTATTTGACTTGCTTCAAATCCTTCTCTGTGACTTATTTCTAATTTGGCATTATTTCACTGAATTGGGCTAAAACAGTACACCTACTCGATATAAGCAGACCTTCTACTGCCCATGAAGAATGCCAGAATCCAAATGCTTATGCTTTAGAAAACCTTCCTTCAGAGCATGGAATTACTGAAATGTCACATTGATATGAATTAATGTAATATTTTTAAGTGTTTAGAGTGGGTGGCCATTCCAGCAGAAATTGCATATACTGCCATGGGGAACCTCTTATTAGAAAATGGATAAAAACTCAGTTGGCCTTTTGCATAAGATGCTCGGTGCTTCTGTCACACCAGAACTTAATGCTAGGGCAGACGTGAAAACAACACAACGGATTAGATTTTGTTTAATGTAAGGAGGGCACTTTAGGAGGGGCATTAAATCTTTTTGGTCATTAGAGTACCATATAACACATTGGAATGCTGTTCTATTAGATTTTTAGTAGGCATCAAAATGATGATAACAGGTACCTGCCCCCAGCCAATGGCCAGATCTCCTCTAAGTAAACAGTTAAAAACATCTGAGGCCATTTCCTGCACAATTCAAGCCAAATGACCCATTTGATCCTAATCATTTGAACACATTAGGAATCTGGCCATGTCTAGACCAGAGAGTGAACAGTAGAAAATATCCATAATCTCACTGACCCATCTGTCTTTCTCTTTTCTTTTGCCTGTAGATTTTTCATCCTGTTTGCTTATTAATAGCTTAATAAAGAGGAAGCAAGATTGGGGATGGGGAGAGAGAAGAAAACAGTAAAGGGGTATTTTTAGCAGCTTGGGTATCTGTTTTTATCATTGCATTCTTTGCAAATCAGGAATGTGCTAGTAGAAAGGGGTTAAAGGATTTGCTCCACCATCAACAGTTCAAAGGAAAAACTGGGTGTGGTAAAATCTAAAAACTAGAGCTCCTTATATTTTCTTAGAGAACACTACAGGCCAAGTGCTTCTTTTAGAAACGAGAGCTCCAAAGCAGTGATAACAAATATCGATCATTTGCACAAATGATTTACCACCTGATCTAATTCCTGTTAAATACCAGGTCAGACAAGAAGTTATTTCACAGTAATTGCAGCTTAAAGTAGGTGTATCTGCATTTTAATTTGTCTCACACCATTTAGAAATAGCATTTTCTCTGTCTTAAAAATTCTTCCACCTACTTACCACACTAGGATTCTGTGTGAATTAATGTGATAATGTCTTTGAAGCACTATGAGCTCCTTGAGAGAAAGAGGTTAAAGAAGTGTAAAGTGTGTTCAGTCATTATTATGACTATCTCCTAAAAACCTGTGAAGCCCATTCTCTAGGACATTTGTCCTGTGTGTGTAAGGTTCTATTTATCAGTAATGAACAAACAGTAATTAAAGGTTCCATATTTTAAGGATTTGAGTATGAATTCTAAAGAATTTACAACACTAGATAAGCAGGTAACTGCTACAGCACCCTATTCGTGCCTATGATCAGTTGGAGTTCCGGCATCAGTGTTCAGGCTGCACAGAAAAAACAATAAGACCTGGTCAAAATTTCATTCGAACAAAGACAATTCAAAATCTACTCAATGCACTTCACTGAAAACCACAAACTCACTTTATAGTATTTCGCTGTGCTATGTATTTTCAAGATTTGAAGAAATCTCTCTGAAATTAATGTATTATTTTATTAGGTTGATCTTTTAATCAAATATTCATTTATATGAGTCTCATTTTATCAAAAATGAAATTATACAAAGGTGAGCAAAAGCGTAGATTTACAGAAGTTTAAAGCTTAATCTTATTCTCTAGGGGTGATATTGACAATATAAGTATGGTGTAAATGATATTCCCTAACTCTAAAATATGCTTATGAGCCCCTTGTGCATGTTCTTCTTCTTTACAACCTGCAGCAAAATGCATAACTAGCTTAATAAGCAAGGCATTTAGGAATTGTTTTTTCCTCCACCGTCTAAAACACGAGTAAAGGCCTATACTGTTTTTTTGTGAGTCGAAATCTTTGCTAATGATTGCAATGTTCCCTCAGTATGAGATTTCCTTCCCTGACAGGATGGTTATTTGAAAGTAATTGCTCACTTTTTATTTTTCAAGAAACTACCAAGAACTGTATCTATAATGTGTTTAGAGGATTATATTTACAATACAATGCATTTGTGATTTTTCTTACCCAAGGTTCATGTTTGCTTCCAAATGTCTCCTCACTACTTGTTTACCTCTATAAATAATGAGACTGCAGTACAAACTAATAGAATTCACACAAGTATACTTTAGGCTATCAAACCTTTCTTTTGAGGTAGCTAAGCTATTCTTGAACTATTGACAATATTTTGTAATGAGTTCTCCAGCTAAGAAGTTCGTTCTATGTTTTCTTTATGTTGGTTAATCAGTGCTGTGCTTCTGCTTTACAAATGGGCACTATATTACTTAGGAGCAAGTAAGATCATCTCTTGAAGGTCATGATTTCCTGACCTGAATAAGAGAGAGATAAAATAATGTGCTAGTTAATGCTCCACTTGTTTTCCACTTCAGTCTTAGATTCAATCCTAATTAAATGTAGAATTAATTGTAGAAACTCAACTTTAGTTGTGGAAATATGTTCAGAATATGATATTCTCAAATCAAAGAAGTGACAGTAGTGAGGTTAGTTTGGGGTCTGGTCAGTTATTATTGGAGTAGTATAAATATGAGTTACTAATTTGAAAGTAGGAAAAGCAGACAATTGCAAGCAAGGGGAAGATACAATATAGTGTTTGATTACTCTTTGTCTAGAGAAGAGCACTATTTTGGAGTCATTTTTTCAGAAGGTTCTGTTGCTTATTTTTAGAACATGACATGTTTTTTAAAAACAGAGGTTTCTTGAAAAGAATAACCATTTGGACTCATTAGCCTTACAAATATCTGACTTACAATTTAATCAAAATGAAGACCAGGATAGGTCAATAGGTCATCTTTTTTTTGGGCAAATGGTATCATAAAGGAGTATCAAACTATCTTACTCACTTGTAATACACCCTGGTTTTGTGAAATAATTATTTAATACATCTCTTTCCCCTTTTTTGAATCTCCAGTTCTTAGAAAACATTCCCTTAAAATGGAAGCATGAATGCCCTTCTGCTCACACATGGGGATAAAATGCAAAGATATCATTAACTATAACTATCTATGGGAGAGCACATTCTTTAGCGGAAGCTTTACACATCACTTATAGGCCAAATAGTTCACTCTTACTGAAATCAATATTAGAAAACACAAAATCAAATTCGTGTGTATTTTATAGGGCACCATAATAATGATATCTTGTACTTGTCATACTTATCAGATAGTATGTATCTAACTTATTGATGAGGAAGAATAGGCAAATATTATGATACCTATTTTACTAAAGTTAAGGCAGAGAGTAGGTAAATGACTTCTCAAGGTTAGTAACTGAGTTAGCGAGTTAGTAACTGAGAAATTCTGACTGCTAGATCAGTGCTCCTTCTGCCACTTCATTGTGCCTCTCACATACTGGTTATAAAACAGCAATAGAAGTGCACGTGTCCAGTACAGAGATCTTCAACTGTTGAGTCACGTTAAGAGCTTTAGAAATACTGAAATTCTATTTTTCATCTTAGAAGAGAGAGGAAGGGAGAGGAGAATAAATGAAAGCTAACGTGTATGGAACACTATGTCAGGAGCCACTCCACACGTACATATGGCATATATGGAATGCCATCTTCCTTCATTATTTTCTTGTTGTGGATAATGCTACAGTGAAAAGTACGAATTATGTTTCTATGCCATTTCTCTAAATAATCTGAGACCAAGTCCCCCACTTTCCATAAGCATATAAGTTACAAAATGTTTTTTCTTCTTTTTTCTTTCGTTTTCTGAGACAAAGTCTTGCTCTGTTGCCCAGGCTGGAGTGCAGTGGCAGGATCTCAGCTCACTGCAACCTCTGCCTCCCGGGTTCAAGTGATTCTCCTGCCTCAGTCTCCCAGGTAGCTGGGACTACAGGTGTGTGCCATCACACCTGGCCATGTTTTGTATTTTTAGTAGAGATTGGGTTTCTCTATGTTAGCCAGGCTGGTCTCTAACTCCGGACCTCAGGCAATCTGCCTGCCTTGGTCTCCCAAAGTGCTGGAATTACAGACGTGAGCCACCACGCCTGGCCACAAAACGTTTCTTAAGGTTCTAATTGATTTGAGTTTTGTACAGGATGCAGATTGGAAATATTTTAGTTAATATTTTAAAGTATAGTTAAGTTCTATTTTTAAATGACTTTTAACTACTACTTTTGTCTGTAAAACTTATAGAAGAACACTATAATACTCGATTTTAAACAAATCAAAATATGGAGGAAAGTGAAAAATGAAAGTAATGGATAAACAAATGTTAACTTGTACAATGTTAAAAATGATGACATCCAACATTTCCCATAGAAGGTTGAAATGTGGTTACCAGGAAATTGTAAGATTTGAGGGTTTATTAGTCCTATTGAGGGTTTTTCCTCACACGTTATTAAATGGTTGCTCACAGATGCTGAGATCAACATTACCTTTATTCATTTTTATTATTTTAATGAAAACAAGAGCACTTAGACATTTGTGAAATGTTGCAGGAAGTCAGGGATCCCGAATGGAGGGACTGGCTGGAGCTGTGGCAGAGGAACATAAATTGTGAAGATTTCATGGACATTTACCAGTTCCCAAATAATACTTTCATAATTTCTTATGCCTGTCTTACTTTAATCTCTTAATCCTGTTATCTTCATAAGCTGAGGATGAACATCACCTCAGGACCACTGTGATAATTGTGTTAACTGTATAAATTGATTGTAAAACATGTGTGTTTGAAAAAGATGAAATCAGTGCACCTTGGAAAAGAACAGAATAACAGCAGTTTTCAGGGAACAAGGGAAGAGAACCGTAAGGTCTGACTGCCTGCAGGTTCGGGCTAAATAAAGCCATACTTTTCTTCTTGCAGAGAGCCTATAAATGGACATGCAAGTTCAGAAGATATCGCTACATTCTTTTCCTAGCAAGGAATATTAATAAATAATACCCTGGGGAAGGAATGCATTCCTGTGGGGAGGTCTATAAATGGCCGCTCTGGGAGTGTCTGTCTTATGTGGTTAAGATAAGGACTGAAATATGCCCTGGTCTCCTGCAGTACCCTCAGGCTTACTACACCCTGGTAAATCTGAGGTCAGACCAGTTCTCTGCTCTCGAGCCCTGTTTTCTGTTGTTTAAGGTGTTTATCAAGACAATACGTGCACTGCTGAACATAGACCCTTATCAGTAATTCTGCTTTTGCCCCTTGCCTTGTGATCTTTGGTTTTGCCCTTTGCCTAGTGATCTTTGTTGGACCCTTATCAGGAGTTTCTGATTTTATCCTTGTCCTGTTTCCTCAGAAGCATGTGATCTTTGTTCTCCTTTTTGCCCTTTGAAGCACGTGATCTTGTGACCTACTCTCTGTTCTTGCACCCCCTCCCCTTTTGAAATCCTTAATAAAACTTTCTGGCTTTAAGGCTCAGGTGGGCATCACGGTCCTACCAATATGTGATGTCACCACTGGCGACCCAGCTCTAAAATTCCTCTTTGTACTCTTTCTCCTTATTTCTCAGCTGGCCGACACTTATGGAAAATAGAAAGAACCTACTTTGAAATATTGGGGGCAGGTTCCCCCAATAGTGAAAAAACAGGAAGATAGGAAAGAAATGTTTGTAAAATAATGATGCTTTCTTGAAAGCTAATAAAGTAATTGTTGGAAATGTTGTTCCAAAAATCATTTGCATTACTGACAAAAAGTAGATTCCAGTTGAAGTATGTGGATCATTACCAATGTTAATTTTCAAATATTAAAAAAGTAAAATGTAAACTTGAAAGGGTCAAGAGGTTAGGGGCCTTAAAGAGTTGTGTATAAAATCCAAAAGAATGTTTTTCTTTATATTCATTTTAATTCCCAAAAGGTAATGTTACATGTCTATTATAAATGAAAAGTAAGTTCCCTAGAGTAAATAAATGAAACTTTATGCTAATGCTACATACGGAATTCCAGTCCAAAATTAGTTAAGTGGTTGAGAGTGGTGGCTCATGCCTGTAATCCCAGCATTTTGAGAGGCCAAGGTGATCACCTGAGGTCAGGAGCCTGAGACCAGCCTGAACAACATGGTGAAAATTCAACGTTAGCCAAGTGTGGTGGCCCACGCCTGTAATCCCAGCTACTTGGGAGGCTGAGGTAGTAGAATTGCTTGAACTCGAGAGGCAGAGGTTGCAGTGAGCCAAGATCGTGCCACTGCACTCCAGCCTGGGTAACAAGCATGAAACTTCATCTCAACAAATATAAAATAAAATAAAATTAAATTAAATTAAATTTTAAAAATGTAAAATTAGAGAGTGAGGCTCTGTTGAAATCTAGTTCTGACAGACAGAGTGAAGTGAGTGTAGTCAAGAATAAAAAAGGTTATTTCTGTTACTATTTCAGCTGCTCCACACAGTTTTAAATAGAAAAGAGAGTTG